GTTACTTTGAAATTTGGGGATCAAGATTATATACATTGCATATTTTGGCCCGCTTAGTAAGATTCCAGGGCCTAAAGTCTCTCATTTAACGAAATTTTATATTGGAGTGAAGCAAATTAGCGGACAAAGGTATGCTCGAAAATTATGAAATGTCGTGTTATTAGCTGATCTATTTTATAATTATTTCGATATTTTTTCAGATGGAAATGGCTACAAAATGAAATTGTTCCAAAATACGGAAAGATAGTTCGTGTTTGTATGTTTTTCCTTTTTCAAATTTTGGTTTGAATTTTGTAAACTACTATCAAAATTTAACAATTTATGATCATAATCTCTTATTATAATAGCTCCGGAAGCAGTATTATTCTCTGACAAGGATATCGTTAAACAGGTATTTGTTCTTTCCACATATTGCCATTTTAAGGATTGGTTTTCTTACTCATGGATTTTTTCCTTTTATCAAGATTTTATTGACAAACGTAAATCAGCTTATTTCTGGATTAAGTGCATTTTTCTTTTCTTGTAATAATTACATAACATGAGAAATATTTAAATTTTTTAAAGGAATTGCCAAAAAATAAAAATTATGAACGTTTGCGCATCGACGAGAAATATTCAACCTTATTCACAGCCAGGTAAATAGACATTCTATCTCTGCTTTAAGAATATCATTCTCCTTAATTCTAACATTCATTTGTTTAATTCAGAGATAAAGAAATTCATAAACGAAGGGTGTGTACTTTTACCTTCTTTTTTCTACTGACAAATAACCCATTTTTACAAAGCAAACTTTATTATGCAATTAGAGACGTGTCCTATCACCCGCATTTTCAATAAAGCACCTGTCATCTTTAGAACCGTTTATGCGCACTTGTATTAATGATTTAATTGCAAAAGTTGATGGTGAAATTTCTAAGTATGGTAGCAAGGCTGCCATAAATCTTTATTTGTTGATTCAATATAATGCATTGGTGCGTATATATTTTATTTTTTTAAAAAAAAAATGCATGAATGTTCTGCATGAAAAAGAAGTGATTAAATTATTGTTTTTAATTTAGGACATTATTGGGGAGACAGCTTTTGGAGGATCATTCAAGTTGGTAACAAATGGAAATCATCCTATGCCATCTAAAGTATTTAGTGAACTAAGAAGGAGGGCTTTGGTTTGTATTATTTGTATTATTTAAATATACTCGTTCATATTCATAGAATCGTTATTCATTTTAATTTCTCTGTTGGAAAACACAAAATTCATATTATCTTTCTTTGAAATATATTTATTAGAGAAGTCTATTTCCATTTCTCAAACCATTCTTGAAGCAGGATCCTTATCTTATTGATGTAATTAATTATTTCGATTATTGTTTCTTATTAAAAGTTATTACATGTTTAATTTTCTAATTTATTTTTATTTAAAAAAGTTCACCAACAAAATAATAAAACAACGTCGCCAAGAATCATCGCATAAAAAGGATTTGTTACAAATGATGTTGGATACTAAAGGACATGAAGATGGTTTAACAGACTTTGAAATATACGATCAAAGTATCGAATTCCTGTAAGTATTTAAATCTTATCATTAAAAGTATTTTGGTTCTCTTATAATTCAACCAATTTTTCTCACTTTTCTCATGGAAAAAAGAATTGCGGGTAGCGACACAACAAGCTTTACAGCAACAATGATAATGATAATGTTAGTCAAACATCCTGAAGCATTGGAAAAATTAGTTAAAGAAATCGACGAAGCTTTAGCAGAAATTGGTAGTGAAGAAATCCCAACTCATGACCAAATAAAACATTTACCTTACTTAAATGGAGTTATTAATGAAGGACTTAGACTCTTCCCTACTAGTAGAGGTATTTATTTTATTTTATTTGAAATTTTCATTTTTATTGGGTTATTAATTAGTTATTAATTACTGTCTTAATACAGATTTCGGTAATTATACATATATATATATATATTATTTTTATTATTTTTATTATTATTGTTTTTTTTTTGTTATTGCTGTATAAAAAGTATATTTCTTATGCTTTCAGAACATTTCATGATTTTATGCTTTCTTTTTTTTTTAAAAAAAAAGGCCCAGGTAAAGAAGCAACAGAAGATTTAGTTCTTGGTGGATATTTCATTCCGAAAGGGGTTAGCATCAATCTCTAATTGTAATTTTTTTTACATTATTAAAAAGCATAATTTAATAAAAATTTTGTTTGATAGACATTAGTGATAGCAAACACACTGGGGCTTCATATATCGAAAGAATATTGGGGTGAAAATACTAAAGAATTCGTACCAGAAAGATGGCTGGAACCCGAAAAATTGACGCCTGATAGTTTTATTCCATTTTCAGCTGGTATGTATATCTTTTTAAAATAATAATTTTGTACATTAATAGTAAAAATTAATCTTGTTCAAATAATGGTTTTAATAGGAGCTCGAAATTGCATTGGACTCAAGTAATTTGAATTTTTTTTTTATTTCAATTTGTAATCTTTTAGCATTTTCATATACTAATATTATTTTTAAATAGTTTTGCATGGATGGAGCTTAGGCTCACAATAGCCACCTTATTACATCGCTACAATTTTAAAGACATTGAAAATCAAGAAATAGAATTATTACAATTCATTACACCAAGTTTGAAGTCCAAGAAATATGAAGTCGCCGTCTCTATGCGAAACTAATTAATATCCAATAATGGAAGTAGACATTAAAAAATAATTTTTAATTAGCCGATATATGTTTGTACCTTTACCGTTATGTATTCTCATAGCATTATTTTCATGTGTATTTTTAATTACATATATATTTACATATCATATTTTATAATTACATTCTTTTGCATATCACATTTGCATTAATATGTTTAAATAAGGTTTGGACGGTGGTACACAAAGGAATAAATGTCATTAATTCGAAATTTTATCATAACAACTTTATTTAATTCATTAAATAAAAAATGTTTAACACTTAAGTTTACGTATAATTTAATATCTTTTATATAATTTTTTAAATAACACGTAAGTATAAACATGCTTGGACATTCTTGAACATGGACGGATAAGTCAAGAAAGGCCTAATTTATGTACACAAGTAGGTCATGATAGTTCAGTTCAGTGAAAAAAGTTATAAACTTTATAAAAAAAAAAATAATGAATTTTTGTAACCTTCCATGCTCTGAAATCCAGACTATAAGGTCAGCATTAATTAAATGTTGACTTTGGATATATGTAAAATTTGATGCTGAAACTTTTAATTGCCAAACAAGATAAACGTTACATAAGTCATATATTTATATTTATATATGAGTCCGGTCAACAAAAACACGCGGCTTGAAGTTAATGATACTATTGTATAAAGCAAGTTATTCTTTTATTTAATTTAATTAACATTTTAAGCATCGATTCACAATGAAATTTTGTCGATGCCTACTTTTTCAAATGTAATAAAGATAAAACGTGATCTAAAATTAGATTTTATAAATCCGGTAAATCATAGAAAAGTATTCATGTCTCAAAATGGAAAAAATCTATAAGCCGTGTTTTGTTGACCCAGTGCTGCTGCGACTAAGGCGAAAAAAATTCTGATATAATACACTGTTTTTTTAACTTATTCTGCGAAACTCTGTGATAATATAGGCTAGTACCGTACAGCGTGGACTAAAATACCCGGGATACTTTACAATTTAAGCTGTATATATGGGTATTATAGTCGGAGGGATACTATGTTGCACTATATTAGAGTGAGATTTCTCACATATTTTTCATGGAAAATATGATATTTGCTTAATTAGTCGCGACTAATTTGTATCCCTACACTATATGAATGCTGCAGTAATATTTTATATATTCTAAGTCCATCTTTAGTACCCGGGTATTTTACATTCCCAAGTGCAATTAACCCGTCCTTAGTACCCGGGGTACTTTACATTCTAGGCCTCCGAAAATCATGAGGGGTTATAAAGCGGTATGTAGAAATTATGTATGGTACGGTTAAAAAACTTGTACTGTACGGTACGGTACTATATTTTATTTAACCGTACAATATAAATATGTACCGTATGGTACAATAATAATACAATATTTTGCCGTGAGTTACACATATGATATATTAATTCTTTGTGCAATTTATAAAATTACAGCGATAGAAATATTTATTTCAAAATGCAATATATTTTATTTACGGTATTTCATATTTAAAAAAGTACTAAGAATAAAAGCTTAATGTGATTATTATAATTCCTTTAAACTATTAAGCTTTTCACATAATAAAATTTCTTCTCTAAGAACTTCCAAGCTTTTTTGCTGCAATTCAAGTTTTTTGTTTTCCCATTCAATAAAATTGTCTTGTTCTTGGGCCGTAGGAACCATAGTTAGAGTTGATGTAGAAAATGAAGATGAATCTTCATTTTTTTCATTTAATGCTTGGTTTTTACGTTTTTTTTGTGGTGTAGACCTTGAGGCAGATTCTTTGCCTTTATTTTTTCGTTTTTCTAAATAAATATATAAACTATTAAATTAAATTATGTAACTTATTTAAATTTAAAAAAATTAAACTTACGATTTCTTTTAGAATTATTTGTCAAGCGAGCTAATTCAGACTTATCTCTATATGATTCATGTACATTATACTTTTCATATGTTTTTGTGGAATCCCATTGACGTTGATCAAAATTATTACCTATATATAATAAAAAAAATCATTAAAATTTTTTAATATATACTGTATATTATTAATATTTTAGTATTTTAAATATATACAGTACCGAAATATTGCTGCTAATAAAGATAATGATCGGCCATCTTGGTTAATGTTAGCATGTGCCGA